AGTGAGGAGAATGTGAGGAGAGGTCCCTGTTCTTTGCAGTCCATCTAAAATTAAAGAACTCCTGGCAAATAAAATCTTTACCCTTGCAGTGGGGCTTCCCCCGCACTGCAAGGGTTAAGTGCTCGTTTTGCCTAAAATAACAAAGATAGTCACCCAACCAGCAATGCCGGCTTGCTCCCAGACGGCTTCCTTCTGCCTCGCTCCCCTTTCGCTCCAACCATGGAATTTTCTCTTGGCATCCTCACATCCAATAAACTGTATAGGATGTGATGAGTCACAGGACCTTAGACCGCCAGAGCAGAGGGGAGTGAAGCTAAAGGGACAGGTCTACGAGCCAGCCGGAATTGTGGTTCTGGTGAGGATAGCTCTGTTATTTTTGCTCCCTAGACAAAACAAGCACTTAACCCTTGCAGTGCTGGGGTTGCCCCACTGCAAGGGTTAAGATTTTATTTGCCCAGGGTTCTTCTTTAAGTAGGCAGTGCTGATACCATGTGTTTAGAAATGTAGAGCTGTGTTGTCATGTTGAAAAGCAGTTAGGGGCTTCTGGCATACCAACGGTTATCGAGTTTCTGCGCTTGTAGAGTATTTAAAGGAGTATAATATCGGTAAACATGCATGTATTCTAGAGATATACTATTTGTGTTTTTTTTGCCTTGACATATGGTTTAATTGCAGTAAAATGAGAAATTGGTGAGATTCAGATAACAGTTGTAGGTTCTTGCACTTTGTACAGTACCTGTACATTAAACTAGCCACAATTTCACAAGCCCACTGGTGTTCATGAAGTAGTATTAGTTGTGAAAAAACACAGACGCACTTATACGGCAAATTGGTCAGAATGTTCATTTGCTGAGTGTTTATTTGTCACATGTATTCTTTCGTATAAATTCTGATTTTTCTAATAGGCTACCCCTTCACTGCAAGGGTTAAATGCTTCTTTTGCCCTAGGGGCCAGGATAAAGAAAATACACTCACCTGATCCTCGTTCCTGCGAAAGTCAACGTTTACCTCCCTCCCCCTCCACCCTGGCTGTAGTATGTCCCTCGGCATCCTCACATCTAATGCAAGTGAATGGATCTGCATTAGACATGTTGACGTCTTGGGTCCTTAGCCCTCTGGAGCCTGGGGAAAAAGAGGTGGGATTGGTCTAACAGCCAAGCGGGATAGAGGATCAGGTAATTATATCTTCTTTAATCCAGCCACAAGACCCAGGGCTGTCCCATTAATCACCGCCTGGAGGGGGTATCAGCTAATGGTCCTTCCAGTGGGGAATGAGTGTGTGTGCTGTCAGCCACTCTGTCTGAGCTCACTGATGTCACTGCTTGCCAGGAGCTCAGTGGGACGCCAGACCGAGCGGCCTGTGAGGTAGCTAGGCAGGACACCAGTGTCACGGGTTGCTGGGAGTTCCTAGCACAGGTTTCTAAGGGCTCTTTCACATGTGCACTGATTAACATACCTGTAGTGTTAACAAGGCATTCGGCAGGCATTTTCAAGGCATTAGGGAGGCGTCAAATACGCTTGCAAAATGCCCTGGAAGTAAGGAAGAGTGCTAAGTGACGTAGTAAAGAGATGTGACCAGCGGGAGTCGCAGTAGCTGGGCAGATATGGGTCATACAATCTTGGTTGTTGCTCTACCTCTTGAATTAGCCCAGCAACATTTATTTCTGACATATTTCAGGCTAGAAACTGCCCGCTTTTGTTGGGTGTGACATTCACATTCACACAACATTGGCTGTGTGCAGACAGGAAGTGTCATCTGCAGCTGCTCCGTCCACTCACTCTATAATTCCCCAGTGGTTTTTGGGCTTGCAAAACCTCCTATACCTCTTCTGAGCACCTGTGCATTGCTTCTTAAATGCCCCAAAAATGCTCTAGGGAGCATTGACCGAGCGTTTAGAGGGTGTTTCAATATGTTTAAATGGAGGCTTTATTACAGCGGCCATGCCTCCAGAACGTGACATGCACTCGTATTTTTTTAACACAACGCTAACATCCATGTGTGAACTGTTCTGGGCGGTTGCTATTGTTTTATCTCACATGGGCTTTAAAAGGTGGCAGAGGGGCGTTAAATTGCTTCTCAAATGCCTGATTTTAACAGGTGCGAAAGAGCCCTAACTCAGTTGTTCCTAATGCGTTTCACAGAGAGCACCATTAAGCTGGCCATACACTGTACAACCCTTGCAAGACTTTTGTCTTGCGATGGTTGTAAAGTAATTTAAAAAATGTACGATCTGCCCATCTTGGACAGGCAGATCGTACTTGCAATCATCGCAAGCCCACCTCGCTGAGGGGCAGGCTTCCAATGACTGCAATGCTGAACGGGCAGTGTTCGCGTGCGCACACCGGCCCGTTCGGCAGCTGTCGAACGAATCGCGGCGGGTTTTCCAGCCTGCTTGTTCGATGGAAGACGTGCGATCGTACAGTACAAACGGGCGCACGCCTTCCATACACTTTGCGATTATCGCACGATTGCGGGATTTCCCGCGATGATCGTAGGATAATCGTACAGTGTATGGGCACCTATAGATTGTTACTTTACTAAAGCAGGAGATACAGGTGAATAAAAATGCTGTTGCTGCAAAGATAAAAAGTGTAACAAAATGAATCCATAGAGTGCTGTAGTCATTGCTAGAAATCACTGCTATTACAGTCCCTTTACAAATCATTGCTCCCACATTTGTGCTCCCTACAGCCCCCACAAAAATAATAGTGCCACACTAATATTTCCTTCAAAAATAACGTGCTGGTCAAGCAAGTACCATCTATCAGTCTATCTATCAGTCTATCTATCAGTCTATCTACTGATAGACTTTAGCACGATATTCTAATTATTCGAGTTTCACCTGTATACATATGTATATACACACAGGTGAAACTCGAATAATTAGAATTAAAAAAAAAAATAAGATCCAACAAGATCCATTAGATCCATTAGATTAACAAGATCTATTAGAAAAGATCCGAGGGAAAAATATAAACAGAGAAGGGAATGGAAAGCACAGAGAAAATAACCCAGTCTAAACAATATTTTTCTTTTACTGACTAAGCACCTAGGTTAGGAAAACACAGACTTCTATCTGCAGTGGCCTGAGAGCTGCACCATAAGGCATAGCTACAGATAACAGCACCTATGGCAAGCACTGAAACTGTGCCCCTTTCCAAAAACTGACACCCATATTTTAGATACATTTACCATAATTTTAACTCAGTACAAGTTCCCCCTTACATCAGTGTCCCTCCTTGCATCAGAGTCCCTCTACATAAGAGGGAACTCTGGGGAGATTTATATAAGGGGGGACTCTGGGCACTAAGTCCCCAGGGTCTCCTCTTACATCAGAGTCCCCAGAATCCCCCCTTATATCATCGTCCCCAGAGAACCACCTTTTACATTAGACCCCTAGCGTCACTTTTCCACTCCATATAAGCTATTGGAGCACAGATTGTTCTCCAATAGGTTATTGCCCAGCTTCTGCAGCCGAGCAATGACAGGGACCGGAAGTGATGCAATCAATGTCGCTTCCGGTTGCTTAGTGCGGGGAGGAGATCTGTAAATTGAGGTTCGCCAGTCTCCTCCCTGTCTTCCTGCTGACACCCGACATGCCAGTTCCGGGCCCGCAGAAGGGCAGCGGAGCCCAAGAAGCAAGGCACACTTCACTGGCGCCTGGAAGCAATCTGGTGGCAACTGAGCCACCAGAATCGCTTCCGCTGTTCCAGTGTCGGCTTTACAAATGTAAACTGAGTCCCAGCAGCTAGTCTGTTTAAAGGGGCCTGAAAGGGTTAAAGATCTGTCGATCTGCCAGAAACACAAACCTTAGCTTCAGTCGTGCACAGTTGTACTGGCTTTTCTACTGTACTGAAGTTGATTACCCTGATTTCACTGCAAACTGTGAGCTTCCCACTGTGCACTTTGGATGCTGAATCAAGTCAGACAGAGCCTGTCTCATTTATTGGCTGGAGGATGTCCAGCATCATCTAAACCTTTTGTCCACGGAGAGCAAGGGTCCAATTCTGCAGCTGCTGGCAGGACACAGACTTTTCTACTCAGGCTGTTTAGAAAGAAAAAAAAATTGTAAGACATTGAACACCTAGAATTTATTTATCTGATTTAAATTGAAGGTAACATTTCTTTTAAATGCAAGCAGAATAAAGTCGGGTATACACGGTTTGAATATCGTCCAGTTCCTGATGAACCGGTTGAAATGTGCACAGTGGGTGCTGCTATCGGCACCCTTCTGCCTGTTATTCCTGGATCAGCTGATCGATGGAGTCGGTTGGAAAATTCTCGTAACAAGTGTCCAATCAGCTGCTAGCTCCATTCAGGTTTACTGACAGCGCCTGTAATACAATGCAGAATAACATAGACACCAGCACTCCAAGTAATGAATCAATGGCGTTTGTTTATTGACGCATGAGACATAGCATAATGTATCAAAAACAACGTTTAGGGGTCTCACAACATCCCCTTCATCAGGCAAAATGAGTGGGGTAGAAGAATGTTAGGGGGGTAGTAGTGTCTGGTTTACCCGTACTACTAGGGATTGGGGGAGGGGGGGTCCCATAATTCGCTTACACCAAACATCCTACCGAGTCACTATGACTGCAAGTCCCCAGTTCTTGGACCACTATCAAGCGGTTTTCCATCCTGCATCAAATACCTCGGTAATTCGTGGGGTCTATCCCTGGATGATGGGATGAGAGCCATGGTTCCCACACACTTAGAGACCTGGAATGCTTGTCTTCTAAGATTCTAGACAGTCAATCATTAAGCATAATATTATCCAACGATAAATAAAACGATCTTTTCTTTTGAACGTATTTAAGATAACATTTGGTTCTATAATAAGTAAAATATGAATGTGTTTTATTTAGAAAGACAGTTACAGTTTTTAAAAAACATGATTCCGATAATACTGAATACATTACCCAGCAGTTCCTGACATGTAAAAGGTGAATAATGTAATTAATGATATAACATAATATGATTTTCTGTGTGTTTGCAGGAAAGAGCAAGAAGTTGACTCCAAAGATGCCATTATTTTACATCAGTTTTCACGGCCAATCAATGGTGTTCCTAGTTTATCTCCATTCTGTCTGAAATTGGAAACTTACCTAAGAATGGCTGACCTACCATATCAGGTAAATTGCAAAGATTATGTAACGTATCCATAACATTAGATTGATGCTTTCTAAACATACGTTCTAGTTCAGTGGTTCTCAGCCTTGGTTGGTAAATTCTTCCAAAACCTTCCATACCCCAACAGTAAGAAAAAGTTTATGCTCATACAATAAAAGTAAAGGAATGCTAGAAATTTTAGTGTTGTCCCTAGAAGAAGAAATACGCGGGACTCTTCCAATGGGGACACCTGTTCCAGGGACAACTGTCTAAGAGGGGAATTTTCCTCACTTTGGGACATTTCCTCTAGCATTCCCTCTATGGTACACAGACAGCAAAGAACTAACCTGGCAGGTTTTTTTTAACCCTTCCCTTTATTATATACTAGGTCCTCCTTAGAGATGTGTGAATTGACTTCAAGGTGATTATCATGACTAGGGATGCACTGATACCAATACTAGTATCTGTGCCGATACTGGACATTTTCACGAGTGCCCCAATACTAAGCCCCAATACCGGCGCTTTACATTTTTAAACAGGTGCGGCTGCTGGGGACCTCGCGGTGGCTGTGTTTTTCAGCGCCAATCCGGCTACACATTTCCTGCAAGCACTTTTTTTCAGATCGCACTGGACTGCAACACAGGCATTGTTTTGCCACGGGTTCTTGTGCGGGTGATCGCACTGCGGGCAGGGGATGTAGCCGCGGTGCCATCGACTTCAATGCACTGCCACGGCCCCTTCCTCCCCTGAATGCAGGAAGCCGGCCGGGATGTGATACAGTGCTTTCCAGCAGCTGACCGCTCTGGAACGCACTGTTTATGGTGTGAACAAGCCCTTGGGTCCCATTCACACAGGTGGTCTGATTAGATCTGCAGGTCCGTTTTTCAGGTGGATCTGATTGGAAGCCCCATGTAACAGACCTGCATGTGTCTACATCCGATTACCCCCGACTTGAGAGTTCTGTTTTGGCCTACCTGGTTGTGACGCATTAGAGGTAATCAGATGTAAACCAACACATGTTTGCTTACAGCTGACTCCCCATAGACCTAACATGGGTCCGTATAGCTCAGAATAAAACTGAAGGGATACAGATGTCACATGAGTGACATCTGTTCTATTCTGCTCAGATCAGCAGGGGATCCAAATTCCCTGCTGATCGGAACAGACGGCACCTGTGTGAAAGGGGTCTAAAGGTGCCCATGCACCTTACAACCATCGCAAGACTTTTTCTTGCGATGGTCCTATGCTTATTGAAAGCTCGTACGATCTGCCCACCTTGGATCGGGTTTTCGATTATGTTGGTTCGACAAAAGACGTGCGACCGTACAGTAGAAACGGTCGCACGTCTTCGTTCACACTGCTCGATTCTCGTACGATCGCGGGATTTCGCCCGATTCTCGTACGAGAATCGAGCAGTGTATGGGCACCTTTAGAGTATACATCAACTTCTGTAGAAAGAAACAGTAAGGGGCCTGGGCAAGAAGGAAGATATGGCAGACAATGAGTTGGGGGGTGCAGCAAAACTAATACACAAGAAGAACTAGAATTACACTAAGGCTGGGTTCACACCTGGGCGTTTTTTAGCGCTGATCGAAGCGCTGAAAAACGCTCAAGAAGTGAAATCCTATGAATTGCTATGGGCATGGCTCCCTCCTGGGCGTATTTAAGCGCGTTTTGTCGCGCTGAAAAACGCCCTACGTGCGAAATAGTACTTGAGCTTCTTTGGGGCAGATTTCAGAGCGTACCCATTAGACTTCTAAATAGAGATTTCGTAAACGCTTTCGGTGACAGGAAATCGCGCTAGAAACGCGTGTGCAAAAACGCGCATATTACGAACGCCCAGGTGTGAACCCAGGCTAACAGTAAAATGTACAAAGTTGAGAGAGATAGGGGGCACAAGATACCCAGAACGCAGCAAAAATTCAGAACGAACAGAACTGGAATACAAGATACTGAAAGCATACTGGAACCTAAAGACAAAAGCCTAACTGTAAAAGAAGATTTGGTAGAAAAATGTGGGACGCATAATATACTAGCTTCCACTGGAAGTCAACTTTTATTAACACCTTGGTAGATTGTGAGAAGCACACTCAACACTGAGCATATCACAGCACAAACACGGCACAGACAAACATTGACCAAAGACTTATACAAAAAAGATGGAGAAGTGCATCGTCTACTCCAGCTATTAGAGAGCAAGCACTCAGATGCTGAGATATGGAATCAAATATGGATTTTTACTGTAAGACTGAGTATTATGACATCACCTATGTTGTCCGTCTGCAAAGTAATTGTGTTGTAGAACATATAATCCCTGTCAATATTTCTGTTCATGGGAATTATATGTACTATAACATAATCGCTTTGATGAGAATTGGATTATATGTACCACTACAAAATCTTATGAAACAGCCCTTTCTTCATAGCTCTTAGATCTACTGCAGGCAGAGCATTTTAGCAATAGACTGGAATAGAATAAAGGTAATACAATGATGAGGCGCAGATCTGTGTGTTCAGTTGGCACTTTCATGATTTTTTGTTTCATGATTTAGGCAGGCTACTAAAAAAAAAGAACATTAGCTGGTATTATTATTAATATTGTTATTATTATTATTATAATACAGTATTTAGATAGCCCCAACAGTCTGCACTGCTCTTTACAATATAAGGAAGTAGAGCTGCAACAACTAATCGATTAAATCGATTAAAATCGATAATGAGAATCGTTGGTAACGATTCTCATCATCGATTAGTTGCCGCTGTTCTCCTCTCCGCTGATGCTGGCTGCAGCGGTCTGTGTCCCTTCAAATCCCCGCTGCTCTCCCCGCCTGTGTCGGCAGAGGCAGCGGGGACACAGACCCCCATACGTCCGCTGCTGCTCCCCCGGCCGCTTCCTCCTCTCACACATTCCGGCAGCTCCTACGGTCCCCCCGGGCCGCTCCTATGATCCCCCCGGTTTGGCCGTTGCTCCTCTGCCCCGCCCCTTGCCTCCTCTACATCTGCAGGCTGGGAGCCATACCCAGCCTGCTATTGGATATTTTAAATTGCAATAGCCAATAGCAGGCTGGGTATTGCTCCCAGCAATAATGTTAAAAAAAAAGTTAAACTAAAATTAAAAAGTTTAATAAACAAAAATGAAAAATAGAATTTTTTTTTATTTGGTGCGTTATTTTAACCACTTGCTGTCCGGGGCATTTTCTTACTATTTGTGCACACATGATAAAATGTACATTTTTGGCTAGAAAACAGCTTTAAACCCCCACGCAATGATATATGTTCTGAAAGCAGAGGCCCTGTAGAAAAAAAAATGCTAGTTGCAATTTTTTACGTCGCACGGTTTTTGCGCAAATGTTTATCAAACTCGTATTTTTAGGAAAAAATAAACTAAATTAAAATTTAGTGCACAGAAACATAATATAATACCCAATTTGTTAGTAAAATATGAAAAACGGGGTCACGCCGGGTAAATAGATACCAAACATGTCAAGCCTTAAAAATGCGTTCGCCCGTGAAGCCGCAAAAAAAGTAATTACCCAAAATTTCCCATAGGGAACATTTTAAATGCTTTTACCACTCATCGGTTTACTGCTAACAGTGATTGACAGAGTTATTGCTCTCACTCCGATGTTAAGACATAAGAAAAAAGGTGTTTTTATCCACTTTGTGACCAGAGCAATTTTCACATTTTTTGCAAACATGTTAAAATTCAAATTCTTTGCAAGAAAACTGCTTAAAACCCCTCAACAAATATATATTTTCTTAGAGCAGAGAATTAAAAAAAAATGCTAGTTACATTTTTTTATGACCCACAATATTTGTGCAAATGCTGCAGTTGTGATCTTGGTACCAGGTACCTTGGTACTTTAAAACCAGGACATATTGAGGGGAATTTATCAAACCTGGAACAGACAGAATATGGAGCAGTCGTCCATGGCATCCAATCAGCTTCTCTCTTCAGTTTGTTCAGTTAAAATATTTGAAAGTTAAAGAGAGAAGAATTCTAACTGATTTCCACTTATACGTAATCTGATAAATATTCCTAAACATTTACCTTTTACCGATAAGCTTTAAGCAAGATGCTACTGCCTCCTGGTTAGGCCATTATGCATTTAGGCTGTATTGGCCTCTCTATGCCACTGGGTCCCTTACACAAGCTTAATTGGAGAGACCTAAAGCTGAACTCCAGGCAAACAACTGAATCAGATCAGATAAACATATAAGAGCTGTTGAAGGAATTGAATTTCTATTCTATTGTCTATTTACACAGCTCTGCCAGACAGAAGAACCAGACTGGAGCCCTACTTTTCTCTACAACTATTAAATTATTACTGATATTTTTGGATAATTATTCATTATATTTTAACTATAATAATGATATTATTATTTATTCATAAAAACAACATTTGGTTTTGATTTATTGTTTTCTAGAGCAACACAAACCTGCATGAATCAGTAAAATTTTAATTTAATGTTAATCTGGTTGGAGTTTTGCTTTAAGGAATCCGATGCAACATTTAAAAGTAGTGCAACAATCATTGAAGTGTAAAGAGAAGCAAACAAAGCAACCAAAATTCGTTCAGTGTACTAAAGTCAGATAAGTAAAAGATTGATTCTGGTTGACTGCTTTGGGTTACTGCAAAGTGCTCTTTCCCTAATGGTGGAAATAAATGAGCAAGCATCATGGAGAAATAAGGAAGTAGAGTATTTGAATATTGGACAGGTACACTTAGAAAAGGAAGTGCAAAATAGATTCGTAGCCAGGGGGAGCTTGGTGGTCAAGTTTATGTGGACCTGCATGTTCATAGACAGAACCTGTGGTTGGGGGGACTGTCTGTAGGAGCCTGTGCATTGCACCTGTGAGCCACTGATTTCAGTTGCAATGCTTTGCAGGTTCAAATGCAAAATATCAATAAATGTTTTTTGTAATATGGGTGCATTTATTATTTTTTGCAAAAAGTGGAATATGCCACCCGCTCCTCTCATTACTTGGAATAATCTATAAAATTATACAAACGATCTCTAACAATGCACTTTTTGATAATGGTTAAAGCTATAATTCCAAGACACTGGGAATCTCCTGACCCTGTGTTAATGCAGGAATGGCTCACCCGTATCAACAAGGTCGCTGAGCTGGAATCATCTTGGATTTACATTATCCAAGATGATATGGGCTCTTACCCTCAGACCTGAACCAGAGCATTTAAAGGTACCACTACCTATACAAACTTTATGAACCCTTGTGGTACCTGAGCTTTAGTTTTAGACAGGTATAGGGTTCCACAATTCAACTACTCCCACTGTTGATTACTTACATACTGGAGGAGGTCAGTCCTGGGATAGGAGCACTCTGACTGGGGCAGCTGGGCTTGGGGTGGACTGATGTGGAGCCATGGTGCAAGGCTCTCCAGGATTAGGTACCCTATCTACCTTCCAGCATGCTCCTTGAGCAGGCTCCCCCCTCCCCCTGTTCCATGCTTCCTTGAGCTCAATCTATATTTCCATCTAATCTCCTTGGGGTATTCACAGGTCCCAGCCTGTCTCTCTTATCCAGGCCTTCCATCCAATGCCTTTCCATCCGTACCAGCAACAAGAGAGAGACTGGTGGTTTCCTCTCTCACTTTGAATCCTTAGCTATTGGGAAACTGCCTCACCCCACCTGTTTCTCTGTTGGAGATTTGGAAGTATACCCTACATGTGCTAATATTCCCAGAACGACCCAGTTCAACATACTATTTCTTTATTCCCGTCATCCCACATTCCTCGTCCATGTCCTTTAACAGCAGGTATTTGTATCTGTAACTTTATGTGCATATGTTTGGTATGCTAGACTGCTTTGCCGTTTTGTATTGTTTGGTTCTTATTTTATAAAGAAAATGTTTCTAAAAAAAAATCATACAAAAAAGTATGCAAAGTGCAATTGCATGCAAAGTGCATTAACAGATGTGTGCGACTCAAATATAAATTACCTTTGTTCTCAGGGACACATACTCTCATAATTTCACCTTACTCTAAAAATAATCTTCTTAAGCTTTGCTAAGGGTATCATAAGGATAAAAATAAGTGTATTTCCTGAACATTGAAATTGTTAATATTTTTGCATTAAGGAACTCAGAAAAACAGGATGATATGTACCAAATAGCTAGACATCGGCATCTAAATTGATATTGGCATTTTCATAGATTTATTTGTTATATGGAAATAACACCGAGAGTAGCTAATGGACTTTCTGAAGTATCCATGAATAATGAATGATGCTGTGATACATAGCACAAGATTCCTATGGGTAAGAAGACATATTTTTTGAGGGAATTCTTTGATAATTTTACATGAGTTTGAACGCAGAGCCGGCCTAAGAATTACTTACCACACCATAAGCCTCAATTACCTAATAATATAATAATCTGCAAATAATGCAGATTTCATTATGTTTTTGAGCTCAGCAGCCCTGTGGTGACAAATTGAACTTTATAGTGTCACCTTTTTGTTTTTTCAGAACTAAAGGGGCAGCTTGCCGACAATAAACACAAATACGCAACACGCTAAATTGTGACTATTTTTTTTCTGATTTAATTGGAATATTTGAACATGATACACATTATATGGAAGATGACTTGGGTGGGTGGGGGGAGCTGTTAAATGTGCCTAGGGCCCTGTTTGGTTTGCAATGGGTAACTAAACCTTGCAGCCAGCACTTATCTGGGCATAGTTCTGTATTCTTCTTTAGGGCCCATTCATACTATTATTTACGGAAACCCTGGATAACACACGTCTATTAAATTATGCTGTGCAGTGCATAGGAAGCACAATCAACATAAATGGGCGGCTATCCCCAAATAATTGTCATTGTGTGTATGGTAACATACCACAACATATTGGCATAATCTGATAATTTTTAAATCATAATTTAAAAAAAGAGCAGCAGCCTGTGGGAAGGGTTTGCAATGTGCCCATGTTTCATGCTACACCCTAAATACGGATGTAACCAGAAACATGGTCTGAAAGGTAAACTTAGTGGAGTTACTTAAGTTCTAATTTCAGTTTGTGGAGGGACTGAAGAGCAGTTGACTGTGATATCCTTCAATAGAACTACGTGATGGTAAATTTTATTCTAATAATCTCCTGCACTTTTAGCAAGATAGCTAAGTTTCCTTACATTATAGATCTAGTGTGAATCATTACGCATAAGATGAGCATGAATGTTTTTTTTTTTTTCATTCTGATCTGTAAGCTGCTTGTACTAAAAAAAAAACGAAAACAAAATAAACAAGCTCATGTGATATATATAGTTATATAAACCTAATAGCAGTTATCAGGATGCCTGTAAACTAATAGCTGTGTCATCACATTTCCTGATGCAGTTGTACAATTTTTTCCAGACCTTAGATGTTTATTTGTCTGAATGTTCATAGTTGCAATTACTCTGTGTTTGTTTTTTAGAACTACTTTGATGGGAAGCTGTCACCTCAGGGAAAAATGCCTTGGATAGAATATAATCACACAAGAGTGTCTGGCACCGAATTCATTATCGACTTTTTGGAAGAGAAACTTGGAGTGAATTTGAACAAAAACCTTAATCCTCATGAAAGAGCCGTTTCTAGAGCAGTCACCAAAATGGTAGAGGAACATTTCTACTGGTGAGTTTGATATTTGAGGAACATAGCATAGTAAAATGTTATAGGAGTAATAATTATGATTAATTGTTATTTGCTGAACCAAATCTGTAAAATGAAATGACTCATACTGCAATGTTGTTTAACAGCAAACGTATAGTTTATGTAGTTAGATTGTAAATTAAAATCATCCAAACCTTTGAACTCAGTAGAGGACTCAGGCCTTCCACTGGGACCTAGGCATTATATGGGACTCACAGGACTCTTGCCACTTGCTCATTGTGATGAGTTTCTGCATGTACTTACAGTATATCTTGCTCTCGTTCTAACATTATACTGTTTGCTATACAGATATATAACTGCACATATACGGAAACCATAACTTATTAGTAGCCACAGATATAGAAATGAATGATTTCCTTATAGCCTGTAGTTACTCCAGGAAAATGACATGCTTTATACTTGTCCAGACAACTCCCTGCAACTTTTGACCACTGCCCCAATGTCCACATGTGTTATTAGCCTTTAGTAGGTGCTTGATCAAGATGTGCCCTAAAGGTACTTTACTATAGATGTGTATAATCAACAAATAACTTTGTTACTTGTTATATAAATATTTATTTGATATATTAATGACAAATAACTTTTACCCAATCCTCACTTCTAATCACCCAGTTTTCTGCAGTCAATCATAGTGCTGTATATAGGCAAGTCACTGGGAGTAGAAGTGTTCAGGAGAGGAAACAGTGGGTCCTGCAATCTTGATGCTAACCTTCAAAACAGTTAATTATTTCTACATCTCCCTGAGTTAGTTTCCAATTCTCTTCAGAATTCTGTAGACTAAAGTTGGTCTATTCATGCTACAGAGGGGGAGAATGGCCTGTCCATTTGCATGTTGCAAATACAGGTCAGGAGTTTTAGTTTTATGTTCAGATCAGTGAACATAAAATAAAGTAACCACAGAAACTACTCTACAACTGTAGAGAACAGAAAAATATCCCAGAATGCACATCTAACATTAAAGGAACATGGCCTAAAACAGCAGAAGACCCTGTTGAGTTTCACTCCTGTCAAGCCAAGAACAGAAAGCTGAGGCAGTGGGCACTGGCTCACCAAAACTGGACAGCTTAATACTGGAAAAATTTAGCCTATTCTGATGAATCTCAGTTTTTGTGGAGGCACCCAGACGGTAGTGCTTAGATTTTAGCATCAACAGCATAAATCCATATATCTAACCTGTCTTGAGTCAACAGTCCAGGCTGGTGGTGTAATGGTGTGAGGAATGTTTTCTTGGCACACTTTGGGACCATTCATAACCAAATAATGTCACATTCTATCTAAGTATTGTTGCTGACAAACAAGGAATGTGCATTCCTTTATGGCCACAATGCAGTATATTGTAGTGTTCCTAATAAAAACTAGATACTGTATATTCTGCGAATATGTTGTATGATAGATAGACTGATAGATAGACTGATAGATAGACTGATAGATAGACTGATAGATAGACTGATAGATGGTACTTGCTTGACCAGCACGTTATTTTTGAAGGAATACTATAACTGGTGATCTGCTTTCTGCACACATTCCAGCGAACAAATGGTTGTCGAGTGTGTTGATTTTTTATGATCTTAGACTGTTAATACAAACACACCTTTTTATTTCCTACAGGTGAAACTCGAATAATTAGAATATCGTGCAAAAGTATAAAGGGGCCCAAACCAAGTACTGAGTACATATGCATGCTTGTACTTTTCAGAGGTCCGATATTGTTCTATGTACAATCCTTGTTTTATTGATTACATGTAATAATCTACTTTTTTAAAGGGTTGTGGATTTGGGGTTCTTGGGGTTTTCATGAGCTGTAAGCCATAATCATCACACTTATGACAAATCACGGCTTGAACTATCTTGCTTTGCATTTAATGAGTCTATCTCATATATTAGTTTCACCTTTTAAGTTGCATTAGTGAAATAAATGAACTTTGCACGATATTCTAATTATTCGAGTTTCACCTGTATATGTATGTATGCTAACCTTGAATTGTTTACAGTGTTTATATAATAAGAAAAGCAATTTACATCCATTCACTGTAAAAGCACTTGAAATGTGTAAGTGAAATGTGTGACCATATTTTCTTTATTCTTTTTGTTGCAGGACTTTAGCCTATTGCCAATGGGTGGACAATTTACATGAAACTCAGAAAATGATCTCCATTCCTGGGCCATTTAGCGATTTATTGAAATGGATTTTATGTCACCTTACAAAAGGCATTGTAATGCGTGAAATGTATGGGCAAGGCATTGGACGCTTTTCTGAGGAAGAAATTTATAAGCTGATGGAGAAAGACATGAGATCTCTGGCTGGACTTCTTGGTAATCACTGCTTGCTGTATTCTCCAGAGAGAAACAAGACATTTCATGTTTGTCCAGGACAACTCCATGTAGTAGCAGAGAGAGGTCCTTGGTTTGCTTAGGACAGAGATGTGAAAATACAGATTTCCCTTGAGGGATGCAATCTCATAATAGTTCTACAATAGAAACACTATGTTTCACAGCCTGGCATGCAACAAAGGCAACAGGGATGCAGGGCTGTTGTTTACTAGGAGTTTGTGGGGAAGTGGTTACTACATGGAGGGACCCTGATCAGATTTCCAATTTTATTGTTAGTATTACATTTTAGGAATACATTCATATTCATGTGCGGCTCATTGCCACAGTAACCAGTAACCTTACAATATCCACAATTATACGTAAATCCTTTTTTTCTTGCACAATGTAGATACAGAGGTCTTGGTCATATACTGCAGCATTAAAGTAGTAATAATCTCTTAATCCTTTTTTCCCAGCAATATATTTCTTTACATTTTTTACCCAAGCACATACAGTCATCAAGTTTCCAAACAACTGTCTCCAACTCTCTCAGCTCGGCTTCCCTGAACTTTCTGTCCAGTACAAGATTTCGAGGGAAAGAGCGGTCTCCTGCACCGTCCATCTACTAGCTTGCAGAAGGGAGCGAGGAGTGGAGAACAGGAGGGGAGGAGTAGCTTGCTTTGCCAGTGTGTTTGTTGAAACAAACACAGCTTACTAACACACACACAAGGGTCGCTCCCTAAGACCCTCCATGGGAAAGGAGCCACCCTTAAACAGAATATCAGAGCCAGTGCTCAGGGAACCAGCTGATTCTGCAGCAATCTAAAACCTTTAAAAATCTAGAAGCAGCATTCATTGTAAATTATTTATTCAGCATTTAAAATAGCTTTAAAACCTTTTGGCTTTAATGCCACTTTAGTACTTCTTGGACTATTATTGATGCAGTCTGTGTTTAGGGCTACATCATGTGCTCCACATGACAGGAAAAGGGATGCCTATGCAACTGTGATCATGGTGCAGTTTCTGTATAACCACACTATGTATACATGTATGTATGTATGTATGTATGTATGTATGTGTGTGTGTATATATATATATACTGTATTTGCTGGCGTATAAGACTGCTTTTTATACTTAAAATCATCCCCCAATAATCGGGGGTCGTCTTATACGCGGGGTATACAATGTATACCTTTAGTTCGTTTAGGCCAAGCTGGCCCAAAACGAACATCCCTAATCTGTCAGCCCGCTGGATGTGTGGTAATACTGTATGTACGGTAGCTTCGGCTACATACAGTAGCTGAACCAATCACGGCGTGCGATGTACACAACCTCTGCCAATCAAGACAACAGAAGGGCAACAGTGCAATGTCAGATTTCTCGCATCACCTTTCAAAACCTCGTGGAGTCACGAGGAGGCCCAACTAAGTCATCTCGTGGAGTCATCTCGTAGCCCAACAAAGTACTGATGGGGTGGTCATAATAATCTGGCCATTCAGTGTGTGTATATATATATATATATATACACACACACTCTAAATGTTTGAAAAATAATGCTGGATGCTAAGCTATTTGTAATTTACTGTTAAGATACTGAAACTGAAGTTCTTTCTAATAAATGTAATTTAGATGAAAAATAAAAAGACGTAAAAAATGCACAATGTTGTTCATGAAAAAAATGGAGTAAACAGACCAGTCATGGAAGACAAAAACATCTACAAGTAATACCCCCGGCCTTATGTAATGCTTTGTTTAGTTATGTTAGCAAACACCTCTCCTGAAATGTCAACTATAAAATTCTCCTCCTCCTTCCTTGTGAGTGTAATGAATGATAATACAGCTAATTCAAATCCAAACAGGAGTTTGTGGACTGTCCTTGACGCCTATTACGCGGAAAAATTGTTTGATGCCGAGAACTTGCCAACATTTTTATGCAAACGCTAAATGTCTCTGGCCCCTTATGGCCATAACTATTAAGATAACCCTAACATTTAACTTCCCCCTGCCTGAAAACGATTATGATAACCCTAACATTTAATTCCCCCCTGCCTGAAACCTAACAGTTTACCTAATAATAAACAGAAACAATATGAGGGATTAAGCAGCACTCACAATAAAATAAATGCATTTATTAACACAATCCCTAAAAACCCTTAAAAAAAAGGTCAACTCGCCCTCCTCACTCAATCTTTCAGTTTACAATTGACAGTTGATAATAATTGATAAAATAAATAATCTTCCGCATATATGGAAATGCAGACAAATATTATCTCAGAATCACAGTATAAGTATGTCCTAAATAGAGCACATTTAGCTAAGCACTTAATATTCTATTTAACCAAACATGCACAAGAGTTTGTAATAGTACATGCATGCAAACTCAAAGTACAATCTCCTAGTTTAAAACTTAGTAACAAGACATAGTTAAAGTCCATTCCTGGATATACACACAGCCCTTCACAGACAGACAATCCCCATACTAATATGTCCATACTGGGGAAAAAAGAATCTGCATCCTCTTTTATGCATTCCCAAGCTAGGAATGGAGTCCCTAAGAGCTATAATCAAAAATAAATACATGCAATCCCATGTTTGCACTGAGATTGCATGGAATTATTTGAGTCACTGGGTAACCATAGAGGGATAAAGCTGCTGGCTGTAACTGACATGGAGTATTTCAGTTACAAGCAATGGATATAGCAAGAGAGAAATGTGTGACATGATGACAATGCATTACCAGAGTGAACAGTTCAGCGCTGCTGTGGGCATATCTGGTCTCCAACAGCTTTAGCAAGAGAGAGAGTAGCTGGAGGTGGAGGTCTCGGAACTAAATGGTAAAAGTGGCTTCTGGCAGCTGAAGGCACAGAAAATAGCGGCAAAAATAGGAGCATTGTAAACTCTTTTAGCCTTCTTATGCTTATGAAACTTTAAAGCTACTTGAATTATGAAGGCAATGTTTAAGGAGATCATTTTAACGTAAATGTGCTTGTTGAAAGAAGGAATAAAAACAGTGGGAAAGTGGTTATTTAATAGATTTGAGGACTTGGATTGGGTTTTGTATATCCATCATAGTTAATCTGTTTCGTCCCTTTGTCCATGGACTAACAAAGCAGTCTATTGTTAATAACTTATGGTTGATCTCCATAAATGTGGAGAAACCTCCAGTATTGACAGCCAGCCCTATGTTGAAAAAGATTGGCCTTGTGGCCCTTTGGAGGTTGTCCTTTTTTTTTTTTTGCAGTAGAGATCCCTGTTCCTATTACTGTCACCCTGTCCATGTGCTTGTTTCTCCGCTTCCTTTTTAGCCACATGATTAATGTACAACCTTTCAGATTTGTTTTTTATACATCTGACTGTGTTTATCATCTGGATGTTGTGATCTCATATGTGGTCCTCTACACAAAATGAATAGTTGTGGGTCTACCAACATGTAAGATATAAAAGCACTCTCTTCCTTTTGAAGCATGGTTTCGTAGATTTGTACATTTGAATGAATAAAAAGTTTTTAATATTGGTTTTGATGGTATGCATATCTAGAGTACTTACTGTATGCATATCTGGAGTGGCAAGAGATTTGTCTGTGATCCATTCATTTGTTAGCTAGGTGTGGTTTGCATAATGAGGGTGGAAAAAGACTTATTTGCAGATTATAGACTTGCATATTAAATATAATGCAAAATATAATATAATTGAAAATGTGACATTTAAAGAGGGCACTTAGCTAGTCAAATCTCTGTAGGACAGGCTATCACCTTCTATGAGTTGCTTTGCTATGTTCAGTGCCAAGAAACTCTGAATATTACAATTTGACTCTGCCCATGTAGTACCTTGTACCTGGACACTGCAGGGTCTTAGTGGCAACACATGGAAGTAGGAATTACATTATTAAATATGTGATAAAATATAGCAATCCACTATGTAGTTACATTCTCTCTATGACAATACCATATTTGCTTCATTAATTATAGAATGACTTATATGCAATAATTCTGCCTATATGTATTAATTTAGTAACCAACCACATTTACTTATTTTCCTTAGGTGATAAAAAGTATATCATGGGACCAAAGTTTTCCACTTTAGATGCCACTATTTTTGGACATTTGGCACAAGCAATGTGGACTTTACCGGGTACAAGACCTGAACGGCTCATTAAAGGTAACCATTACCATATCAGTGCCTGATCACTGCTGGCTGTCAAAGGCCAACCTGGGATAGTATAGTTCCTGCCCTGGCAGAGGAAAGATCTGAATAGTCCTGAGTGCAAAAATAATGTACTGGTTGGGTATGAGAAAGGTGGAGTTTTTGGGGATTCTTCTCTAAAGGCGGGGATGAAGAACAAATGCCCCTCTGACAATGGCACTTTCTACAGCCACACAAGTCACATAAGGTCTGCTTTGGTTATGTGAATAATTTATATGCAAATAATTCATATAAAATGTATATTTAAAACCCAAATGAAGACTTAGGTTTTTTGCATTTGAGCTGCATATCAAGGGAAGAATATTTGTTTTTCACTCTCGTTCATTGAGGGCACATAGATTGTAACCTTTGTGTTATACTGCCACCTACAAGAGGATAGCACACTGACAAATTTTAGGCCATACCAGGATAACCCCTACTACCACCAGCATTCCTCCATTTTTTGCTAGTGTCCTAGTATGTTTGATGCCTTTTCCTTAGCTCTGCCTAGAAAAGACTAACCTGTTTTTACTAGCACTTCTTTTTTATTGAAAATTCTTTTTCAATCAAGACATCTCTGCTACAGCTTGTCTGTGGCAGCTATTGGGATTGCTCTTTTCTCAACCTAGCTTTGGAGTACCATAGCTAGACCCCACTTGACTGGATGTTGTGGAGCAAGCCTGGAAGTGACCTTCAGGCATTGGGTTCCACATAAGGTGCAAGCGTGAATAATTTGCAGGCAGACTTCCTCAGCCAGCAGTGCCTGGACTTGGTGGAGAGGTCCACCATCTCAGAACTGTTCCAGAACCTGTGTCACTGGTCGGGAAAACCAGATGTGGATTTCCTGCCCCCAGGTTGAATAACAGCCTGGACAGGTTTGTCTCCAGGTACAGGGATCCTCTAGCGAAGACAATTGATGTTTTGCTGGCTCTATGGGATCAGTACATGTGATCTATGCCTTTCCTTTTCTGAAACTCCTACCTCATCTGCTTTACAGGATCAAGATGAATGGCATTGAGGTGAATCCCATAGCTCCAGATTGGCCTATGCATATGTGGTACTTTGACCTGATAAGACACTTGGCGGATGCTACGTGGGCTGTTCCAAATCATCTGTCTTAAGGACCCACTGTCGCTAACTTTAATGGCATGTCCCAGTTATGATTGACAAGGGCATTTCTGAATTTGTGATTCCCAATAAAAGCTAGGAAGTCTACTTACTCCAACGTCTATCATCGGGCATGGAATTCATACTTTACTTGATGTGAGTCTCTGGGCTTCCACCCTAAGAGATTCTCCATGGGACGAATTCTCTCCATCCTACAGCTGGGTCTTGACCAACATTTAGCTTTCAGCACTTTCAAGGGCCAGGTCTATGCACTTGTTGTTTTGTTCTGGAGACTCTTGCCTTCTCAGTCCTTGATTAGATCTTTCTTCAGGGTGCCTTCTATTTAGCTACACCTGTTGCTTACCCTGTGACTCTGTGGGATCTGAAGCTGGTTTTCTCGGCACTACAAAAACCGTCTTTTTTTCAGTTAGAGCGGTTAAATTCTGGAACTCGCTGCTACAAGCAGTGTATCAGCAGAGAGTATTGAATCATTCAAAAAGCATTTAGATACCTTCTTCAGAGACTGTAAAGTACAGGGGTACAAGTACTCTTAAAAACTAGAGCACACAGGGACTCGTGTACACACACACAGATGCACAATTACATACAGAAACACAAAGGTTGAACTTGATGGACCTGTGTCTTTATTCAACGTCAAATACTATGTAACTCCACATAGATTTCCCCCTTTCCACTCTTTCCGATAAGGTGGTGTTTTTTGTAGCCACCACCTCTGTAAGGGAGTCTCTTAGCAGATAGCTTTCTGGCTTTACACAAGGACAAGGTAGTGTTGAGACCCAGAACTTCCTTCCTACATAAGGTAGTTTTGGCCTTTTACCTCAACTAGGACATTGTGCTTCCGTCCCTGTCTCCAGCTCCAGTTCATCAGAAGGAGATCATGAGAATCTATCTCTCAGCCACTGCTTTGTTTAGAAAGATAGACTTTGTCTTTGTCATTATGAATGGTCCCCATAACGGTGCACTAGCTTCTTGTTCCACCATTTATTGGTGGCACAGAAAAGCCATCATCCAAGCTTACGGTCTTAAGGTTTCATCCTTTCCTGTCAGGGCACACTCTGCTAAATCTGTGAGTTCTTTTGGGGTGTTTCGGCATCAGACTTCTGTTTTCCAGATTTGAAAGGCTGTCATCTGGTTTTCACACGCTTTCACGTGTTCTCTAAGTTTTACCAGGTGGATTGATGTTCAGGCCTCATCTGATACCAGCTCCAGGTGTAAAGTCCTTCAGACAGCTCTTTAAGTTGCAGGCAGTCCTCAGTTTCCTGTTGTGTTTAGTGGACCTATTTGTTTTTTTGTTTTGAACTGTTGCACACCCCTCAGTTGGACTGCTTATAAATGTCCCAGAGGTTATAATCCTCCTGGCCTAAAAAAAAAGGTTAAATAAAATAAATATAATATATAAAAAATACTTAAAAATAAAATAAATATTAAAAATACTTTAAAGAAATTCTCAATACATGAGAAAGAAAATATGATTTTTGTACTCAAAGGAAAATCCTTTTCTAGGAGTCCAAAACATGTTTCTACAATTCATTAGGTTATCTGTTGCTTCTAACAGGGGACAGGTTTTTCTTCTCAGGCTGTGGCTTCTTTAGAAAGAAAATTACATGTAAGCATTGAACTCCTTTTGTTTTGGTGTACCTGGAATTTGTTTAGCTGATTTAAGCTGAAGATTTTATTAAGGATCTATAAAATATTTTTTGTGAAATTGAAATTCTTTCATATTATGTAATATATTACAAACAAGAACATTTGATCGCACATAAAAATATATGTAAATAAAGTGATGACTGGTGACATTTCTACTGTTGACCATCAGTGGACCATTGGGATTAGAAATTCTTTCTTTACATTTTACTCGTGTGCACTGCCACCTAGTGCCTGCTATCAGAATCACAGTAGAAGGTACATTTCTGTGTTACAAGCTAACACAAAAATCCATGTCATCATTTCATAGAGTGTATCCAAAGCCAGATTGTTTTGAATTTTTCATTTTGAATAGAGTGGAGAAGGATTGAAACTGCTGTCAGGTTTTTGGTTTTTTTGTACCATTTCTGCCTCATTTTGGAGATTCCACCTCACATCATGTTTAATAGATACACCTACAGTTAAGAGGGAAAAACCTCTGCAAAGTGAAGGGGACTGCTGGCAACAAAACACATTTCCCATTGTAATAATTCCCCTCTGTTGCTGTTTTGGTGACACTTCCAAAATTTTTTTTTTTTTAAACTGGGTTTTAGTCCTGTTGCCAATGGGTAGTAGGTCAAATAAAGGGAATTAATTTCCCTAGCAGACAGTAAAAATATGGCATTGGTTCAAGCCCCTCACCACTCCCTCCAAAACTAAAAAAAGGTTTTGCTTCAGATATATTTTAACTTCTTTTTGTATAAGTGTTACATTTTCTGGTCTAGTACATCAATAAATGCTACATCATTCCAGTAGGTTCCACTAACAGGGTTATTACCAAAAGGGTGAAGAGTTTGGAGAAGGCAGGAGAAGTGAACAATCTAGGGCAACATAGCTGATATGGAAAAATTCTCCAATTCATCTAACTTTCCAGTTCAGCTATGTTGTCCTAGATTGTTCACTTCTCCTGCCTTCTCCAAACTCTTCACTCTTTTGGTAATAACCCCATAAATGTTTAATGGACATATCATTGTGTTAGCATGCATATAGCTTGAAATGCCTAATGCCTTATAACTAATTAACATCAGTCTGCTGTTTTACAGGGGAGCTCATTAATCTTGCTATGTACTGTGAAAGAATAAGAAGGAAATTTTGGCCAGAATGGCACGACGACAATGACAACTCATTATATGAATCTGATGACAGTGGTGAGGAGAGCAAGACACAGACCCCATTACTGGACTTCAGTTTTTATTCAAGGACTGGGACCTTTGATGACGAGGGAGCAGAAAATAGCATTTCTCAGACCCCGGATACTGATTTCACTGGAAATTCCCTTTTTGACTCGGATTTGGAAATGGATGAGTATATTGATCAAGAACAATGCAAATGAAGCACGTTCTTTTTTTGAGAGCTCCTGATTAGATTCCTGTCCTTATATCCAATAGTGCTGGTTTTGCACACATCATTGGTTTAAACAAGCCTTATATCTGTGAGAGCAATGCAGCCAGCAGGCTTAGTTAAACTTGTGCACTGGTTGCTGCATTTGAAGATGTTCAATATAAACTGTGACCTTCATTTTGTGTGTTTCTAGATAGATTTGCTGGAGGTGTTGTCACAATCGCCTTATTCAATAAAGAGTTCTGATAACTCAAAATTCTTAAGTGCAGTAGTCCATAACAACCAGCCTGCGTCCACCCTGTACTGGTCTTATTTCAGCCGAGCCAATTTTGATTGGTTGCTATGAACTAATGCATATAGGGATTAGCATTAAAGCTGAACTTTAGGCAAACAGCTGAATACTTGATTGAAATATGTAGTTTGTGATCTCTTTTATTCACCAAAAGATTTGTACTCCTATTCAGCAAGTCATATTTACACAACTGTGCCAGACAACACTGTCTTTACTGAAATTAAACAATAGTGCTTGCCCCCAGGTTGTGATTGATTGGCCAGTTAAGAAAAAGTAGCAGATGGATGAGGACATCGCCCTGCTTACTCTGCACTGTCCTCCTGCCAGTATGTTTGTTTGTTTTTGTCAGCACATGTGCCTGTTTTTAACCCGATTAGCCCCTTTGCTGGCTGGCCTTCCCCATTTTCAGTCTGAGTTTTATTGTGTAAAGAATTGCAACAGGCTGATACCAAGTCAAATTCAGGTACTTACACTAGTTGCATTAAAAAAAGAGTAAAGGTGTTTGTAAATTGCTACAAAAATGTCATTTATTAGTGTTTTTTTTATATATCTGCCTAGAGTTATCCTTAAAGACTAGAACTCTATTGATTAAGGACACAAATGACAAGGATTTTCAGACTATCTTCAAGACTTGTTCATATTGATTCTAAATGTATTGTTGTCATGAGTGCAAGAATATGTGTGGTTAGTTCAATAGCTCCAGTGTCTATAGCACTATAGCCAAAAATGTAAGGAGATTCAGTAATGAGTGCTGTCAGTATGGTGATCCATAAACAATCGCTTGCACTTTTACTGATATTAGGATCATTCATTCTATTTCCTGTATGGGGCATTGAATACAAATGCTCATTTTATGGATCCATATGCTAAAGTGGTTTACTAATAAAATATAGCTCTTGGGTTCAGAAAACACAATCAGTTCATTTTTTTCTTAGTTGATTATATGCACTGCTTATAGAGTACTGTATTATTTTCACTGTAACTCTTTGTAGAGATGAGCCATTATGTTCTGACATGCTCATGTAGCAAGCCCCCTGTTGAGTTTTGTAAAGTCCTCCAGGTCTAAATCACTTAGGAAATGTATTGGTGTGTATGACAACAGAAGTCTCCTGCTCCTTAATATGCAGGAGTCGACCCAAGACAATATTTTTTTTAAAAAAAGGGACTTGAGATACATGCAACAGATGGCACCATCACTTTCAATGCCTCCGAATGTCTGTTTCTCTGTTGAGTCCTTCAAGCCAGATTGCTTTTTGCTTGTTGTATATGCACAGTAAATGAATGCATGGCTAATCATGTATTACAGTCTCAGCAATAATCAACAACAAAGTTGCTGAAATGAAGAGGTTTTTACTGGCGCACATGATACACGTGCATGAAAGGATTCCCTAATTTGCATACTAGTCAGCAGAGGATATATGAAACAGGAAAAAATGAAGTCATGTATGTTAGTGCATTTGTACTTGGGCTGCTGCTAAGGCATTTTTCTTTATCCAAAAGCCCTTCTTTTTAAAGTGTGCTGTATTCTTGCAAGATCATCTCTAGTTATAAGTGCTAAAGAGACAGGTTGTTACCTGCTACCATTAGAGTTTCATGTGATTTATGTTTGACCTATACAGGTATAATGAACGTGACATGGTGTTGTAAAATATAGCTTGCATTATGTACACTTTATGCAATTGAACTGAGATTGGAAGCTGGTTTTATTTTTAGGAGATTATTATTGTGCCTGTATCACCATGTTTACTTTGGAGTACAAATGTCCTATATTAATAAATTATTTATTATTATTATTGCTATTATGATGATTATTATTATTATTACTATTTATTACTTCAGCAGGACTATTTATATTCAATATTTTGTCTTATATTTTAACTGAAAAATAGAACACAAACAAAAGTTGAATCTGCCCAAAAATGATGTTAAGTTTCTGTCAAATACTGAAGAGATGTACCTATTATCAGTTTCTTTTATGCTTCATGGTCTCCAGAGGTGGAGGTATATGTCTTACTTTTCCAGGTTCGAATACCTACTGCAGACTTGACAAAGGGTTTCTCCTTGTAGGATTCGTAATTTATTTCTTGTTTTAGAGAATACAGTTAGAGGAGTAAAAACTTCCAAATGGTGACAAGACAACCCTAAAACTACATGATGGATGAGTAGAGAGCCTTGAAGTATAGCAAGGAGGACTCATTGCCAGGATCTTAAAGAAAAGCCAATGGGTGAGACAGTCCACCAGACTCCATCTAGGAGATAACAGTTTTGTATGACTCCAATAAATGATCATTCCTACCAACATGGTCGATAAGAAACAAGAGCAGCTACGGGGAGATCCAATGCTGTCTCCCTGCTGTGGTCAGTTTTATTTATCTCACTTTGTAATCATTTTTGGAGGTCCGATTACATTATATGTAATTTAAATAAATAGAAATATATCAGACTTCTCAGTGATGTATCATGAATAGATCCCCAGACGTCTTCATCCCTTTTGCACTCATTTAAACAAATACCAACCTTGTGTCCCCTGCCAGATATAATAGCAGAGTGCCCCTAGCTGAACAAAGGGCCACAATAGCAGATTTTAGCAGCAGAGCTGTTGCTGGTGAGTATTGATATATTGAGGAGTCTGAATTGTTTGCCAGAAGGGGTGTTGTGTGTGGTCTTTCCTGGAATTACCATTGAACATACCGGAGTTCCTCCAAAACATAATTATTTGGGGAAATAAAAGTAATATTTTAAGTGGAATTGATATCATAGCAGGGGCTGTCTATCCTAGTCAGTTATACAGACGCTGCCAACAAGCATGCATGCAATAAGAAAGAAGCATAAAAAAGGGATTTAACTACCGGTATTCCCTACTCTATCCAAAACTCCAAAAATATTTTGGTTTTAGATATACTGTAAGTATTTAGTAAATTATACCCATGACTAAACTGGGGTCTTCTGCCTTCAGGTACAGAACTACTGGGCCGGGGGTTACTTTGTGACTGTAGGTCTCTTGGCTCTCCGAGGAGCCCAAAAACCTCTGAAGATATACATTTCAATATTTTCTTCTAATGAGTCAAGTGGAGCCAATATCATTTTCTAAAGACCTCAGGACCTCAGAGGGGGAGAGATGCTGCAGGGACCAGTCTAGCAACCAGGAGGTTTGGGGGGGATCATATATTTGTTATTTTAGACCCTAGATGAAAACGAGCACTTAACTCTTGCAGTTTGGGAGGTAGCCTTACTGCAAGGTTTAAGTGTTCTTCGGCCCAGAGTGCTTTTAAGCTTTCTGAAGAAATGTGAGATTAAACTAATACTCCAGAGGGATGAACAATTAAACAGTGAAAGTGATGGTGCCTGGAGTTGTGCATTAAGCTGTTGTTTATTCTAATAACATGCTAACTCATTCAAATTCCCAATGTGTTGTTTTTTTGGTTTTTTTTGGTACTGCATCTGCTCTAAGCTGACTGACAGTAATGACAAAGAAATGTTTCATCTACCTGCTTATGAATAGGCCGGGAAGTAATGTAATATACAATGGGGGGAATACATCAAAACTGGAGCGGACAAAATCTGGAGTAGCCGTGCATGGCAACCAATCAGCTTCTCTCTTTCATTTTCAAATCTTAACTGAACAAACTGAAGGTAGAAGCTGATTGGTTGGGCAACTGCTCCAGATTTTGTCTGCTCCAATTTCGATATATTCCCCTCGTAGTGCAGTATCCCAAAGCAACAGTTATGAAGTTCTGTGTCACTGATTTGACCACAGTAAACTGAAAACAAATTGCCTGCTATAGTTAACTGAACTCACCATTGATGTTACATATCGAGAATGGCTTCTCGTTTAAAGGCAGGCGGTTGCCATCGTTTGCACTGCCACCATGACGAAATGTTCTTTTTGGCAGCGATGCTCATCAGGACATGATAAGGAATTGGTCTGCCCTAAGGGGAGCACTATAAAATAAACAAAGAGGCTTCATATCCTTCCTAGATTTGAAGGTCATGATTGACAAAAAGGAAATGATTGCTCTTGGCTATAAGAACTATGCAGCACTCAATGCCCTTCTTTATTATATAGTTACCATCCCATTCATGTGAAACAAGCTATCCCTTATGGGCACTTTTTACATTTATGGCAGAATAATATGCAAGAGGAAGATTTTGTACAGCAAGCTAGTGAGTTAAGAGTGACGTTAGAAGGAAAAGGAGAGGGTATAATAAGCAGAAGATTGAAAAGGCATTTTAAGTAAGAAAAAAACTAAATCGGAAAGATCTAATTTAAACTAGGAATAGGAAAAGTGTCAAAAGAAATGAATGGTTTTATTTTTCCCTTTAAATTCTCCCCAATGGCAGATCAAACTAGGCGAGTTATAGGAAAGAACTGGCAAGTAGTGCAACAAGACATAAGAGAAAAAGATAGAGCAGAACAATATCCCATTGTATCTTTTAGGAAATGTAAAAAGAATAAAGATTGGCTGGTTAAGAGTGAGTTTTATCAGGCGAAGAGAAACTCCTGGTTAAGCGATATGCTTCCGATAGGCTATTATACATGTGGTAGTTATAGTATATGAATGTCCACATATGATCAACAGAAATGCTGCATCCAGAAGGCACAGCTGGTAATCTGGAAGACACAAATGGCAAATAGGGAAAGTGATATAGCTAAATAAAAGGGCAAAAAGGTTATTGTTAGCATGTGACAAATCATGTTGTAAAAAAAATGTACCAGACATAAAACAGAAGATAGGCTTGCTGCTTTAGGACTGTCTTGTTATCAGTTCAGGTTACTCTGGAATGATTTGTCAGGTACCACTAGTCATCGCTCGTCTTAAAAAAAATCAATATACAGTAAACTCTCTGTTATCCAGTATTCAACTAACCAGAAAAAAAAACCCTGTGTACTGTTCTGCTGATCTATGGCTTGTATTTACCTGGAAACGATTGTGTGCTTATTTGTCTTAATTTAGTGTA